TCCTGTCTTTCCCTTCGCTCTCTCACATAATTCAATTGGGGTTACCCCCCACACTCAACTAGCAACTTGACACACTCTCCCTTCCTTTATCAAAATTTAAATTATACTCATTAAATGTGTCTCACTTTCAAGCTTTAGAGTTAATTTAGAGAATGCCATTCCCATGAACCTGTCAGCTACCGATACAGTTTAATTAGATCAGACTATAAGCTGCAGATTTATTCTTCTATCCGCTATCTAGGTTTCAAGATGACCAAAGATCCCAAGGTACTGTTCATATTGAACTTCTCAGTAATGTCAGGAAAGATCTGGAGTCTTGGGGGAGAGACTAATATCCTGGATAGGTTGAATGCACTGTGTAACAACCCTCTACCATGTTGCTTGGGAACCTCTACCTTTTGTTTGTTTTTGCCATCATCCACATTGCCTGTACCTAAAGAACAAAGACTATGTCTGGCCCTTTAACTGTTTTGTACAAAGGATTGGTACGTTTGATATGGCACTTCGGATACAGCCGAAGTAGTCGAAGTGGCCGCCATTAGACAATCGAACACGTGGCGGTGGCCATTTTAATCCAGTCGAACGCGGTCAGCGGTGTGTGCCGTCAAATCCCTGGAACGGAAATATATTATTGGACGAACACCGCTGACCTGTACCTTCCCCTACCCTTCGACACTGCGGCTGGAGACTAAGTCCCGTTCAAAGATTCAAATGCACGTTCGAATGGGACTTTGTCATTCTGCTGTAAAATAGACCTCCATTAGACAATCGAACACCGCTGAAACGTAACCCCGGTTTCACTTCGACACTTCGACAGAAGTCGAAGTGAGTTTGATGATTCGAACGCCGCCTTCGGATGGGACTTTGTTATTTTTCAGGGCAGAAATAGACCGACCGCAGAGCCTGAATCTGTGGCACTGTTTTGGGCATGCAAACAGGCGTGCAGTCGGTCCAAAGAGACTTTTTAATATTTCTGGAACCCCTGAATGGATTTGTATGAATTTTGAATATGTTTTTCCCCAAGTTGTATTGTTCATAAAAATATAAGTTTTATTCCTGTGTGATGAAAAATCAGAAAGTTATAAAAAAAATAAAAAGTATAAGTTTTAGCTTGGAAATAATTGAGTAGATACAGTAAGAAACTCAATTATTTCCCAAGCAGAGGGGAGGGGATCTGTGGGTTGTAACCATTGTCTCATTGGTTAATGTCTAATTGTTTGTGGGTGTCTCCCTTGCATGGGAGCACCACATAAAAGGAGAGTACCTGTCATTAAACCTCAGTTCTAGTTTACCCTTTAAAACGTAGCTTTGACTCGTTATTGAAAGGGAACCTGCTCAGCTAATCACTAGCTCTCTCTCTCTACTTGGATCCAGATAATAGAAAGAAGGCTACTCCATTACTGCACAGCATCTTGCCGGGAAAAGGAACGTCTCCAGTGGCTGATACCCCCTCGCCACTGGGGTAGCCGTTACACACTGTATTAAAATCAATGCTCTCCCAAGGTTGCTCTTCCTATTTCAAACTCTTCCAATCTGGGTCATGAAACAGGATCCAGAAAGTGTACAAAAGCTGTTGATTCATGTATTTGGGATTAAAAGCAGCATAGATTGACAAAGGAACATGCTATACAGACCCAATATGGGGGAGGTTTAGGGCTACCGAACCTGCTGATGTACTACTACTCTACCCAATTAGCACAGATGGAGATGTGGCCATATCACCATCTGTGCTAATTGGGCAGAGTAGTAGACAGGTGATGGTTAAATCTTAAGTTTCATCTCATGGGGTCTGACCTCCCAGTATTTTAAATATTTTACATGTGGTAGAATAAACCCCAGGGAACCCTCTTCCGTACTGCGTGCTCTGCTATAGTTACATATTTATATATTTACACTCAGGGCCGCCATCAGGGGGTGGCAACCATGACGGTTGTCTTGGCCCGGCGGCCCCGGGGCCCAGCTGCCCGGGCCCCACATGGAGCGGCGAAACTGCCGCAGGTGCATCTGCACCGGAGCCCACACGCTGATGGGGCCCATGCATTTAGGGCCACCCGATGAGCCCTATATCTTTAGAGGCCCGGTCAGCGCTGTGGCAGTGTAATAGCGCGACCAGGTCCCTTTAAAAAAAATGGGGCTGCACCACAAGTTCTGCTGGGAGGAAGTGACGGCTGGTCACTTCCTCCCAGCTTACTTCGTGCGCGGGGAGAGACAGCCGAGGAGAAGAGAGGCATCCACTCCCATCATCCCCAGCCACCCTCCTGTAACGAAAAGGTAAGGAAGAGGAGGGTGGCTGAAAAATGAGGTGTGTGTGTATATGTATGTGTCTGCATGTATGTATGTCTGTGTGTGTATGTATGTATATATGTATATATCTATCAGTATGTATGTGTGTATGTATGTCAGTATGCATGTATGTATGTGTATGTATATGTGTATGTGTCTATCTGTATGTGTGTGTGTATGTCAGTATGCATGTCTGTGTGTGTATGTATGTATGTCTGTATATATTTATCAGTATGTCTGTGTGTATGTATGTATGTCTGTATGTATGTATGTATGTCTGTATATATATATCAGTATGTATGTCAGTATGCATGCATGTATGTCTGTGTTTGTGTATGTCTGTATGTATGTATATGTATATATCTATCGGTATGTATGTATGTGTGTCAGTATGCATGTATGTATGTATGTGTGTGTGTATGTCAGTATGTCTGTATGTATCTGTGTATGTGTATCTGTATGTGTGTGTATGTCTGTATGCATATATCTGTGTGTGTGTGTGTGTGTGTATGTCTGTATGTATGTATATCAGTACGTATGGGTATGGATGCCATTATGTATATATGTATGCCAGTATGTATTTATGTGTTTGTATGTCTGTATGTCAGTTTGTATGGATGTCTGTTTGTCAGTATGTATGTCTGTATTTATGTGTGTGTGTCAGTATGTGAGTATGTATGTATGTCAGTGTGTGTGTCTGTATGTCAGTATGTGTGTGTGTGTATCTGTATCTCCTTATGCATGTGTATGTGTCTATATGTGTGTATGTCTGTTTCAGTGTTTGTGTCTGTTTGTATTCCTGTGGGCGGGATTTAGAGGCGGGGCTTGGAGGCGGGCACCCCGGACCCAGACCTTGAGCTGTGTTAGGGGCTCAACAATTTCTAATGGCGGCCCTGTTTACACCCCGCCATTTACAACTGGAACTTATGACAGTTCTTAGAAACAGAGTGTTTCCCCCAGGAATGTGCCCATGGAATTTCAAGAATTTAGAGGAAGAAGGTATTTAACGCTACTTATATTTATGGAGTTAAAAACAAGAACCACTTTACATAGTAAAGATTTATTTGGTTATCTGCAGATCCGGGACTTTTTTCACAATAATGGGGTTGTAGTCCTACTGTTTCTGAAAACTGGTGACAAAAGGCTCATATTGTAAAGGTATAATGCCCATGATATATAACTGCATACAGCGAGGGAAAAAAGTATTTGTTCCCTGCTGATTTTGAATGTTTGCCCACTGACAAAGAAATGATCAGTCTATAATTATAATGGTAGGTGTATTTTAACAGTGAGAGACAGAATAAAAAAAAAAATCCAGACAAACGCATGTCAAAAAAGTTATAAATTGATTTGCATGAAAATTCCCCTTAACAATTGTGGATATCAGGCAGACAATGTGGATTACACCTTCACATGTGGTGGATATGCCCTGTAATAGTCCATTCTGGGAGGGAGTAAGAGACCTTTTGACAGCCATTTTTTCATAGACCCTTTGATTTAAACCCCTGGTTGTTTTCATTATCCTGGATCTCAGAGGGCACGGAAGTTATTTAACAAAATAACATTAGCAGTGAGGAGAGCTTTGGCAGTACAGTATCTTGGTTGGGAACTACTTACTAAATAACTTATGTGGAATATAACACTAACTAATAGCTTTATATAATAAGTCACCATTTTAATGGACAATGCAAAATAATTCTTAAAAATAGTACTGGAAATAATACAGCACTAAAATTGATTTTTTTTTTTTTTAATCTCGAAATTTGTTCTCAGTGGTTTTCCATAAGAACCATTTGATTAGGAAATACTAAGCACTAACAAGGTATAGGTACTGAGCAAAACATGAGGTTGATCTTCAGTAGTCTCCGAGGCCACTTCTACAACTAATGAAAGGTACATTTCTAGGGCTTAATGAATATCTGTGCAAATTTTAATTGTTATTTTTAGAGGGTAAGTCAACCTAGTGCAGTCAAGTTATTACCAAACTGTCTGGTCAATATAAAAATGTGTAACCATGGATTAACCAGAAAAACATTCTTCTGGATATTCTTGATTTGGGATGTACAATTTATTTCATAAACAGCAAGGATTATTCAATAAACTGCAAATTGTAAACCTGAATTGCAGGTTAGAGGTTGATTTTGGAAAATTCTGTAACTTACCTATAGTCCCAGCTTGGCTATTACTTGAATTACCTGAATTTTGCACGTCTTTATTCAATTCCCTATCCTTATGGTTTTTAGGAATTAACAAATACAACCAGGATGATAAAGTTTGCAAAATAAAGTGTTGGTTTTAAAGGATCACTATAGGGTCAGGAACACAAATCTTTATCCTATAGTGTTAAATAGTGTTAAATCCTATAGTGTTAAAACCACCATATAGCTACCCCCTGCCCCCTTGTCTCCTGAAATATAGTAAAATCTTACTTGAATACTTGTATTCAAGTCTACAGCTGCTGTCTCTGCCGCCCCTGACCTGCCTGCTTACAGCTGACATCATTAGATGCGATTCTGTGAGAAAATCAAAATGCTTTCCCATAGGATTGGCTAAGATTGTCAAGGAGGCAGATCAGGGGCAGAGCAAGCACACGTTAAACACAGCTGTGGCCAATCAGCATCTCCTCATAGAGGTTAATTTAATCAATGCATTTCTATGAGGAAATGTCAGTGTCTGCATACAGCGGGTGGAGACACTGAATGGCAACACTGCACAGTGTGCAGCACTGTCCCAGGAACCTCCTTTAGTACCTATATGAGGAGTGTACAATAGAATTATCCCTAGGCTGTAATGTAAACACTGCATTTATTTTGAAAAGACAGTGTTTACAGCAAAAAGCCTGAAGGGAATGATTAAATTCACCAGAACAAATACAATAAGCTGTAGTTGTTCTAGTAACTATAGTGTCCCTTTAAATGTACAATTCCATTGCCCATGCTTAGTGGATAACAGTCACAAGGTTATTGACTAAAGAGTGAATTGTCAGATTGTTTTATATAGGATTCACGTTAGAATTATTGCTTTTAAAGCAGACAGTAGATGATACCCTACGAGATGTGCTTATTCAGTTTAAATAACCAACTTTTAAACAGATTTTGCCTTTAGTAAATAGGAGAATTGTATATTCTTTTGTAATCCAGTTGTTTTCAGTGAATTTTGCATCCATACTTTGTTCATATTTTGGGAATACCCCAGGCTATATTCCCAGCCTTGCTAAATTGACTTGATGTATTAATGAAAAATAAATAAATACAAAAAAATTGTCCTTTTTTCTAATGAACACATTAATAAACATTATGTCCCACTTCCAATATATATATATATATATATATATATATATATATATATATATAAACACACACATAAAGGTGACTTAGGTGATTTAAAATGATGTTTTACTTTTTGTATATCCTAATGATTTTTTGAAATTATATTTTAATTGCATAGATTCAGTGCCAAACCCAGTTTGACCTTTGCACACTTTAATGGTTCATATTATTCTGCAATGAAACACACCAATGCTTTGGATGAGAATATTCTACTTCATCCCGGCAAAATAATTGGAAAAAAAGCACAAAAGGGAAGCTGAACAACTTAAACTGTGCTCAATGATGTGGGACGTATAATTTAAAAGAAAGAAATAGCATCCGATTAAAGAAATGAATCCTTAACTCAAAATAAATTAAAGCTGCCTATATAGTCCTTGACTGAATAAAAACACAGAGCAATGACTGAGGTTTTGAAAGGTGCAGAGGGTATTTATGATAAATTGGTACTAGACACAGAATATTCAAAATCTTCAGAATTACTATTTTGACTTGTGCATACATTCAATGTCGGTAAACACCCAGCAAGGAACACAAACATGTCTTCGGTGGCCTTTGTTGGTCTACTGATATTAGCCAGATTATTTTTATATTTATCATGTTCTCCTATTATATTATTATTATACATTTCTCTGATTATATATCTATATTTAACAGGGGCCTTTAGATAATTAATAATGAATGCTTTTTATGGACAATAATCAAGACTGCCATTTGGACCCCAAGCTCTAACTCTGGTCCTCTAAAACCAGAAACACTCCATGGAATGTTTTCTTGCCACACATAAGAATAGTAATTTATGGCCATAGTCCGTGTAATATCAACATTATTTGGCTTTTCCATAAAATACTTTGGATGTTAATTCTTGAGATGTGATGGGAAACTAAGCACACAAGCAACTTTTAATGCACATATACATGAAGTGATGATAGACCTACAACATGAGTGTGATCAGATACATTAAATTGTGATGTCAAAAAAGAATGTCAACAACAATATGTCCTACAAATTCTACCTAGAACTGTAACACGTAATAATTTATTTTTGGGTTAATTCTTTACTCCTTGAAAAGAGAATAAGCACATGGTATTTCATTGATTACAAAAATAAATATAATGTATACATAACCAGGGATCCAAAAATGGGATATGAATTTAGTAATGGTCGTTGACAGCACCACTGTTTTGGAATGTAATTCTGCACATTTTCAGTGCACCATAAAATGGTACATTCTTGGTACTTATTTTCCTGCAGGACCTCAGGAAATAGGTTGTAGATATAATGAAAGAGAACTGAATGTAGCTGAGCACTGAGTGATGGGGAACCATTGACTGTAATACTGGCCACATGAGCACTTTCAAAGAGGCAACACACATCTTATTAGTTCTGCTCAAGAAGTTAGGGACTTATTAGCCCTGGCTATATTTTATATTATAATTTACATGTGATTATCATATTCCCAGTGTTCAATTTTTATCCATAGCAAAAAATTACAATTTGTAGCCAAAATAAAGTGAATGAAATGAATAGATTTCTATGTCCTATGCAGTTTTTTTTTTTTGCAAAGATTTACAAATATCTGCAACCAAATGTTGGCATAAACACCCATTATAAAATACCCACTGTCCTTTTTCTCAATGACCTAGCTAAGTCAGAATTCAGGCAAGGAATTGGCATCATGTTGCTCAGAAATTCAAACAAGTCTTTTATTTCAGGTGTATTCCGAAAATATAGTGTCAGGGAAGTGTGAAGACGACAACACGATTCCAGACTTTGGCATCTGTATTCCATCAGGAGTTTCAGCGGAAGTGTCTTTAAACACAGATGTCCTTATGCTCTGCTTTGGGAAGAAGTTAAGCAACCACAGTCCTCTTCTGCAACTCATGACATCCACACATTTATTGCACAGTCTGGGTTGATCCCTGTGAAGAAAAACATATCTCAATAACGAGCTAAATAAAAGTATAACATTTATAGATTGATAAAGATTGTTGGGTGAGTGTCCATCACTGTACGTCTTTTACAACCAATTAATGGTGTGTTTCTCTGTGACCCAACATGATCCATGTAAACCAGCACGGGGCAGAAAATCATTAGAGATACATTGTTTTATTCATTTTATTCATCTCTTACGGACTAGTGATGGATTATGTTGCCATAGCAATATGTTCTTTAAAGATGCTAACTCAAAATTAAATTACCCTTTTATTTATGACTATAGGTCTTTACAGAACTGGTTTAGGTCTGTAAGAAGGAAAGCCCATGCTGGCAAAAGGTCTCTAGGGAACAGATTGTGATAGCAAGAAAATAAATGGCCATTAAGGGGTTAAGTGCAGATTACAAGTGCACAGATGAAAGAACAATGTGTTGCTAAGCATTCCTTTCTCACACAATGAAGTTAGCAGGTCTTGTTTTGCAAAGTTAATGGAGAACGCATTAGTAATGACAGAGGCCACGTCTGTCTTATGAGGCCTCTGATCTCTCAGAATGAACCGGCAGTGGAACTCATTAACAAACTCAAACAGCTGAACAAAAGGAATTGGTTTCCGTTGATATGCTGTTTAAATTATGTGATCCCTGAAACTTCACATTGCAAACGGAGACTTGAAAATATGCTTTTGATCCGTATTCTGATTTTTAACCTATTGGAGGACAGTGGTGAATAATGGTAATGTGCAAAACGTGAACATTTTCCCTTTCCTGCAGAGGTCTCAATCTCCTCCATGTGGTTTTAGGAACATGGAAAAGTAAAGGGAGACCATGGGACAAAGGAAGAGGAGGGGGAGAAAAAAGCACACACAGCCTCCCTGCCTTGACCCACAAGGTCAATCAAATAGGAAGCCCCTGCCCAAAATGAATGCTAAAACGTAACCTTTAATTGAATAATAATAAAAAAAAAAGTAAGATAAAAATGGAAAAAGGGGAGGGAGCAAATGCAAAATAGGGTATGAAAACCACTAGGATCACCTAATGGTAGTAATAGACTGGCTATAATAGCAATAAAGCATACCCTTATCCAGACTGGTAATTGGGAGGGCTGGAATAAGCAGTGAGGCAGGAGTAGGGAGAATAGTGAACACAAACCCCTATGGAAAGTAGCCAGAGATCAGACTGTAAATTGCTGAAAGCCTAGTCTGAAGTGCAACTAAGTGACAGTAGGATAAGCATTGATGATTCAAATAGATACACAGTAGCTCGTAGCTACAGACAGAGAGGGTAAGAAATATATATCGCTTGATTAGAAGTGTAGAGACATAGTGGAATGTCCCTCAGGGAACAAAGTAGACTAATGAACTCAGGAACTCCTACTAAATAGAGTATCACAGTCTAATAACGGCTACATGTATGGGTCATAATGACATCTCCCACCACTTTGCAGAGCGACCCTCATATATAGCTAAATAGAGTATCCAAAAGTAGCCTCTATCTACCAACAGTATAACAAGAGTTGCATAAAGAAATAGTGATGGCACCACCCCCCCCACACCCTTAGTAGAGCAGCCACCAAAAACGATCAAAGAAGTAACTAGCTAAATAGCTGAACATGAGCTGGATTTGAACATTGGATTGCTCCCTCGATCCACCTAGCCTAACGCGCATTTCGGCGCTTTACACAGCGCCTTCCTCAGAGGCATCAAAGGTGGTCCCACGCCGGTCAGTATATTTATACCCGGCACACACCAATGAAATTAGGGGGCGTGTGAATCCCTGTTTGCGCCAAAATCGGCGTTCGAACTGGTCCCGCCCATCTGTGTCCGTATCACTGGAGGATAGAAAAAAACACACACATAGGAACAAGATTAACCCTATGTGTACTCTTATTCAATTCACAGAAAACCAATATAATTTTGGTAAACGGACTCATAATTAAGTGCCCATTTTCAGGAAAGAAAAATAAGTGAAATCATAACATATATAAAGCTCATATTAGTTTAATTTGTAAATGTCCATCACTGTAAAATTACAGTTGCAAGAAAAAGTATGTGAACCCTTTGGAATTATATGGATTTCTGCACAAATTGGTCATAAAATGTGATCTGATCATCATCTAAGTCACAACAATAGACAATCACAGTCTGCTTAAACTAATAACACACAAAGAATGAAATGTTGCCATGTTTTTATTAAACAAACCATGCAGGTGGAAAAAGTATGTGAACCTCTAGACTAATGACATCTCCAAGAGCTAATTGGAGTGAGATGTCAGCCAACTGGAGTTCAATCAATGAGATTAGATTGGAGGTGTTGGTTACAGCTGCCCTGCCCTATAAAAAACACACACCAGTTCTGGGTTTGCTTTTCACAAGAAGCATTGCCTGATGTGAATGATGCCTCGCACACAAGTGCTCTCAGAAGACCTACGATTAAGAATTGTTGACTTGCATAAAGCTGGAAAGGGTTATAAAAGTATCTCCAAAAGCCTTGCTGTTCATCAGTCCACGGTAAGACAAATTGTCTATAAATGGAGAAAGTTCAGCACTGCTGCTACTCTCCCTAGGAGTGGCTGCCCTGTAAAGATGACTGCAAGAGCACAGCGCAGACTGCTTAATGAGGTGAAGAAGAATCCTAGAGTGTCAGCTAAAGACTTACAAAAGTCATTGGCAAATGCTAACATCCCTGTTAGCGAATCTACAATACGTAAAACACTAAACAAGAATGGATTTCATGGGAGGATACCACA